GTAGTTGTGGAGTTGCCTTGGTCTGAATCCAGAGAAGGTGGGATGGAGAATCTTATTTGCTTCCAGGAATTGAACTAGTTGTTTGCAGACTAGTTTTTCAAGTACCTTTGATAAGGTTGGTAAAAGTGAGATTGGACGATAGTTCTGGAAATCCTGCTTATCCTTCTTGCCTTGTTTGAATATTGGTGTAATAGTAGCCTTCTTCTACATTGATGGCATAATGCCCTGTCTTATAGACATGTTGAAGATATGAGTGAGAGATGGTACAATGGTTTGTATGGATAATTTGATTGCTATAGTAATATCACCAGTGGTGGATGACTTATGAGAAGGCGACGAAGACAGTGCATGCAGGACTTCTGTTTCAGTAATAGTTGCGAGTTGAAATGAGTTCTCAGGCTTAGGTATATGGTCCATTAAGGGAGATGTAGGTGGAAGGTAGGGTAAGGTAATGTCCATCGATAACTCTGATATCTACTACTGCTACACCAACCTCTGGAAAACTGCTCAAGAGTGGAAGAACATCAATGCATTGACACACTTCATCGGTGTCTGAACTCATTGTATGTCCTTCTTTGCCTGCCTTTGCATTTGCTTGAACCGTGCCACACTCTCAGGAGTCAGTTGAGGGGCACGAATCGTGTTGTACTATTCTTTGTAGAACTGTATACATGAATGGTACACATAAACAAGGGATGCCATATATGCTTTCCATCCTTGATTGCGGTACGCAACTTTTCTGTCTGTTTTTTAGTCTGTATTACCATTGTGAACCTGGTCAAGTGATCATTAATCATAAGGATGTCATTAATCTTACCTTTGTATTTCTTCAAGACAAGAAGTCCATAACACACGAATGTCACAATGTTCAACATCGCAGCTTTGGTCATTTTCCTGGTACATTGCTCACAGATGCATAGCATGTCTCTCATATCTTGTATCAGCAAAGGCCAATGTAGATGCATCGGGTCAAAAATATGGTTATACAAAATGCCGAAATCTGCATTCTCATACATCATAAACTGTGTTTTTTTTTCTTGACGATGTACTCTGATGAACTCGAATGTAAATCTGGTATTTTGTGATTAACCTCATAATGTCTCACCCTTCTGTTTTATATGCAGCAGTCAATGGAATACAGTTGCAAAGCACCAATGGTTGCAAAAGTAAAACAAAGATTAATTCTTTCATTACAGCTTCACATGAAAGTGACGTATTTTACTATGGTCCTGATTCCTACACACCCCCATCGAAATTGCGTATGGGTGCCCCGCCTTCTTTTCATGTGTACATTGATGTAAGAATATATGATGCATTAGGAGATTTTGCTACTGAAACCATTGTAGTACAGGTAGGCATTTTAATTTACAGTGTATTGATAAATAAATTGCCAATCTGTCTGTCATGTGATGATTTAGATCTTTTGACTGATTAAACGGTGGCATAAAGACTATTTTTGCTTTAAATTGTTCAGTCGAAATAGCATTGTGACATATTATTCTTTAAAATTTGTTCAACAAAATATCTCAAGCACTACAAGAAGAATTTGCAATTGTGCACACAGTAACAATGCTATGAACTCCAGAATTAAATGTTCACACAAGCCCTTGAGCCCTAAGCATAAGCTTTGCAAACATTTTTATGTCGTCACAGAATATTAAGTTTTTATTTAATTTAACTTGAAAAAAACGCAATTCTATGTTTAGTTTAATTATACGCAACCCTATATAGAAATGTGATCGAGTTCATATCGCAACTATGATAAAAGTGTGTGTTTCCAATGTGTGTCGTCACAACGATGATACGATGTGGAGTTGCGCGCGTGTGTGCGTGGCTTCCTATGGGATTTTAGTCTGTAACATGATTGCAGATTTGTACATAGATACTCTAAGACTATGCACAGACCTGATTGGTTTAAATAATAATCTGTGCATATTATTCACCTATTTGCATTATAATTAATCAATTATCGTTTTTCCACCAATATCTCAAGTAATAACAATTACATTTCAATGAAACTTGGTACATATATGCTATATGACAATGTACAGACCTGCATATAACAATTACCCAATGTTCTACCTATAACTCAAAACCAATTATTGCATTTGATTAAAACATGGTATGTAATTAAATTGAATCAATGATAAATACCTCATCAGATTCTACTTGTCTAATTTGCATAATGTGCCTAATTATCACGTTATATTGAAGTTTATAGATTCTCTGGGGTTAGACGATTATCTAATTTGCCAATTTATGATATCTCAATAAATAAGATTTTAATTTTGAATACATTAGACTGAAAACCACAGATGTAAAATTTATTTTCTTTAAAAATTATAAACTTACAAAATGTGAATCACATTGTTTCCACGTTGTCAATCGGAAAGTATTGAAATATGCTTCAAAAATAACAGTGAAATTATTAATAAAAAACATACTCCACCAGCTGGGGTTAATAAGGTGTACGTCTGCTGAACTTCAAAATAATGCCCCACAATTATAACTCGAAATAGGGTGTGATGAATGCGGAATTATTGTGATAGCGTGACATCCATAAATTGAATTTCTGAAATGTGAAATAATTCTTTGGATACACCAACTGTAACATAAATCATATGACTTATCAGCAATATGATTTATCAACACAAAATATAACTTTAACTCGCCTGTTGTTTGTTTACTTTATGGCCGTTTGACCTACTCATTCTACATATTACATCAGGTGTCCACTGCCCATATTGTGAATCAGAAAACAGATAAATCTCAACACTAAAACATTATAATCCATAGGTGATGAAGAAACCAGATCCAGAAGGCATACGTTATGATGAATTGTTGAACTTGACCATGGGAGAATCCAGTGACTTGAATGCCATGGTTGGATGGGGGAATACATTAACTGCTATGCAATATATATCCAGTATATCATCGGAAATTAATTTTGACATTCCAGACGAGGTTTGTAATAGTTAAATTGTCTAATCAAATTTGTAACTACAGTAGAATTATGTGTACTCAATGTCATTTTTAAAATTACTTTTATGTGTTGTCAGTGCCTCAATATGACACAAAATGCAGACGTAACCAATATAACGACCAATGCTACAAGTTGTGCTAACTCAACTGACACGTCCAAAAAGAAAAAGGAGATTCGGTTTTCTATGTTAGAGACTATGAAAAATATCTCAAATCGAGTACAGACACCAGGAGCTGCACAACAAGCAGCTATTGCCATCAGAGATACTACTGATAAAACAGATGAAGTAACACTTGACAGTCGGGTAAGTATATTGTTAAACTTCATATATGACCATAGACCTGTATAAGTGAATCCTGCATATTGGAACATTAAGGTTTTTATTTCCCTTGCAAACGTATTGTGAAAACGATATTTGTGCATCTCGAACATGACTGGGCTGATTAAATACGAGCCTAAATTCACATATCATATCATATATACATACATACAGATAATGTAACAAAATATATTATTTAGTGTCAAATAAAACATAAATAAAATAAAATATACTATACTATACTATTCCAGTTTGTATTATGTATGTCTTGTGAAAATCAGTCATGATATAAAATATATTTATGCATGTTTTTTTTTTCATACCACTAAGAACTGTAACAATACGAATGTATATCATCGTACTAACTACAATTTAGTTGACACATATAAATATGTTGCTGCTACCGTCTGCAACTACATGTTTCCTTTAAACGTAATTCGCCCATTTTCTTTGAATGTCTGATGTTTAGCTCTTATTAGATCACTATGAAATGAACTAACGAGACTGTGCTATTTTAAATAACTTGTTAAATTTAATTGTTATGTGATATTATGTGAATTCAAGAATGCAACTCTATACAGATTTGCAAATAAATATAGTTTAATTGGGCTAATGAAATATTTTGATATATCGATATAGGCGAATAAACTAGAACTGTGTTTTTATTGTCTTGTATAGAAGCTTGCTGTAAATTCTTTGGATACTGT